TAAAACAATGCACCATCAAGAGGAAAATTTATTTTTGCTCTGGTGCTTCTACTTTCCTTGAATCTTTCTTCTCTCTGTAAAATGGGAAAATTTAATTTGCATGTCATGTGCAGATAAGGAAGAGAGGAGAGGGAAAGATTTTCAATTCTAGCTAAGCAGACAAGTGCTAGTCACTGAGGGGATGACCCAAGTCTTGCATCACTAGCTTTGAACACCAGGGGCAAATATACTGTCCTTAGTGGAATTTTGCTTGAATACCATTGGTAGGTCCCTGCACTAGGGGGTAACTTCACATCCTGTGGTTCTCTTCATACCTGCTCAGGAGATTGAAAATAAACAAATAATCAAAAACACACAACAACAAAAACAGAGAAAACCAGATCAAGTTGTTTGTTTTGGTTGGTTGTTTTTTTTTGTTTGTTTGTTTTGTTTTGTTCTTGTTTTTAAATTTCATTAGCATCTTGCCTGAATAGTCACTAGAATAGAGAACATCGCAGAGAGAATCTGTGTTTGCCTTCACAGAAAGCGGTAGCTCCCTCTGTCTGGAGGTGGAGAATGAAACCTGGGGGCTCCAGGTCAGTGTGGGCACTTGGGAGAGCAGGGCTGGGAATCTGCTTGCACTGGTCCAGCAGCTGCTGTGGATGTCTGAGCAGCACTGCACATATTTGCTGACACCAGATTTCCAAGATAAGCTTAGTGTTGTACTGTTGCTGAAGTACCATCAAGCACTGTTTGGTTCCTCTGACTTGGGTTGAATCTGCTAAGCCTGTGTCAGATCACAATTCTTCTATGGTTCAAACATGCTAATGAAGGCAAATCTAGGAGGGACCTGTGCCAGATTCTGGTATGGGCTGTTGTAACAGCTATTACTGTTGATTGGAGAATTATTTTAAGATAAATATTTTGGTTGATGTGCTGAAAATCCGTGGGTTGGTGTGAATCCCATGCAAGTCCATGCTGACTTGGAAGACCTTCAGTGGACAAATCCCTGACCTTTCCTCACCCAGCTCCTATTGTTAGCATCACACCAAAGCCATACCACAACTCCCAGACACCCAGAACCTGAAGGTGATCTTAGGTGATCTTGGCGTATTGTCAATCAAAATATTTGACATTGGGCCATGTTTTATGAGTAGTGTGGAATATCTTCTGTTTGAGAACTCTTTGATACTTCACATTTGCATTCCTGAAGAAGATAGGTGTAGGTCTGGTAGGCACGTCATGGCAATACATAAGGCATGCTTCTGTTGTCGAATAGAATCAGCAAAAAATTGGGCTAGATTGCAATAATCAGATCTTGAATCTGGGTGCTGTTTTTAGGGGAGTGAATGTGGGTTGACCTTTTTGCCTGACTCAGGGTGAATTTGCAGCGGTAACGGAAATCCTCCTTTTGCTTCAAGGTGAACAGTAAATTTGCTATGGGGAAAAGATTGGGAGAGAATAAGTACAGAAACAGAAAGTGCTGCTTTTATGAAATAATTCCTCGGAGTTTAAGTTTATCGGGGTTTGGGGACTTATAATTAACACAAACAAGCAAACATGAAAGGCAGTAAGCTATTCGTTTTTCCAGTTCATGCTGAGCTGACAGTGGAAAAGGTTCTCAGCCCACAAATCCAGCAGGGAATATAAATGATTGATGGTAAAAGCTTAGATCATCAACTTCAAGTGTGATTGACAGATAGTGTTCCTGGCAAAGGCCTGGAATTCAGTGAACTGGGAATGAGAAATGCAAAGTACTGGCAAACAAATGGCCATCTGCATTTCCCTTGCTTTTTAATCTTTCTTCAGAGGTAAGGTGAGATGTATAAATCCTGGAGTTGTATGTAAACGTAGGTGTTTCATTCAGGTTCTCTAATGATGCCTTAGACTTTGCCAAACACATTCTGACATGTTTAGAAGTGCTACCTTACTCTTCTTTCTTTCCAATTGCAAATGTTTTTTGATAAAACAGCCACTTAACCTCTTTTTTTTTTTTTTTTTTTTTTTATTTCCCTTCCCTTTTCCCAAGTGATTGTTCTTTCTTTATGGAAAACATGTAAATGAAGGGAGGCGGTACACACTTTCTTATTACATGCAGGAGGACAATGTTATAATCCAGAGCAGATACTTCTGGGTGGAAATTTAATTCCTGCTTGCTGAAAAGACTTCCAAGTGCTCCTTCTCCCCTGCCCCCACTCTTCTATGAATGTTACAAGTTTTCTTAGAGTCTGACAATCGAGATTGATGCATTAACTATGCATCATTTAAAGATGTGCTTGACAGAAATAAAGTAGTGTGATGCTTGCAAGTCTGCCTCGCTTTGGAAATCTAACCATAATGTCGCATTGATTTTCATCTAGAGCACTGGCTGTTAACTCTATTAACTTCAAAGAAATTGTTAATGATTGAAAACTGTACAACTTCTTGTTTTAGCCTGCTTTGCTTCTTAAAGTGTGAGGCTTCTGTGATCTGACTCAGCTTTTGATTCACGTGTTACTTTACTCTGGTTTGGCTAAGTGAGCACCCAACAGATGCAGTGTGCTGCTCCTTGCTGCAAGTGGGAAGCAGCTGGGAGCGCCTTCCTTGGGGTGGCAGGCAGCCACAGCACAGAGAGGTTTGGGAGAACTGCATACATGTATAACAAGGGGAAACTGGGGCTGCTAGCACAGGTGAAGGACACGACTGTAAAAAGCAAAGTCAAATGTTTAGGGTAAAACCTAACTAACTTGTGCATGGTGTGTTATTTCCTATATAGGCAAAGCAGCACCGTAGTGTTTGTAGTTGCCTTGTACTGATTAGTCTTCATGCTGCTGTGGGGCAGTAAAATAACTATTGTCATTTTAAGGTAGGGAAACTTGTCTGGAGATACTAAGATTGAGGCTTAGAAACAAGCTGGAATTTCTCTCCGTTATGCTTGGACTACCAGCTCTGACTGTTGCTCATCAGTGATGGCACATTTCTATACTTGATAGATTCCAGAGCGTTAATTAAAACAGTTGTTTAGCTAATTGCCTGGAAGATTGCAAGTAAAAGCATATTTATTCCAAAGACAAACAATCCATTTTTATCCAGTGAAGCATATCAGTCTTTATGGTGCATAAAAGTCGTTTCACTTCGATTTTGAATACATTGTGTGTTTCTCTGTCTAAATGCCTCATGGACGATGATCTATTTTAAGTGCATGGAAGCTATTTTATAATTTTCTTTTCCATTTCTTTACAATTTTTAAGGTATCTACTGTAAAAGCATGTGTTTAAATAATTGAAAATGTGAAAAGTCAATGCCATTAAAAATGAAAAGTTGCTTACTGCACTGACCTATTGCACTACCACCATTTTTACTGATACACAGCCTTTGTAGTATTTCTAGATGTTGGCACTGTCCTATGTAAAGGAGCAGTGGTAAAAAGGATATCATTATGGTGGTTTTGCCCAACTTTGTGGGGAAAAATGTGCTTCTGGTACAGGTGGTTTCAGTGGATATATGCATTAGAAAAGGAAAGACATTACACTCCTACAAAGCATTCAAGGAAAAACTGGTCCCTGGCAGGTGGATTGCACAGGCATTTTGTGGAAGACTGGGAGCACAGTTATTATGCTACAGTGTAGCATGTCATCAGGATGGTAGCTTCTCCTCAAATCGAAGATGCTTAGTGTCTGAAGAAGACATCACGTAATGGTGGAAGTACAGCTCAAGAGATGACCTGGGCTCTCTGGGTTAAATTTAGAAGGCATCTTGACCTTTTTATTCATGATAGTTCTCTTGATTTTCACGTAGATTTTTATGATTGACTACTTATTTAGGGAATAAAATCTAAAAAGACACAGGTGAAGTCAATAAACTAATATGTATCTTGATACTTTGGCTTTAAGAATTACTACAGGCAAAAATACTACTTGTAAGGCAAGGGACCATCTGGCACATCCCTACCACAACTTAGTAGATGTTGTGAGTGCATTTTTTTTTGTTGCTTTGTCTTAGAAGAGATTTGCAGTGTTGACATAACACAGCAAATATTTAAGAGAAAAGCACCGTTCAAAACGAGAACAGTGTAGCTATTCATTATTAAGAGAACAGCTGAATATTCTTATCCCGTTAGCAATATACGTCAGAAAACGGGAAAAATGTGACCATTGCTCTTCAAAGCAGCTTGTAACTTCCTCCTAAACACCCCTTCTGTGCCCATCCTGAGCTGGGGTATAACCAGTGAAATCCTCACTGGAGGCTTCTACTCAGGCAGATTTTGGTATACTTGCTCTGTGTTGTAGTGCCTAGATTGGTACAAATGTCCCTGCTCTAGTATTTCTCAGTAGGAATGTCACTGGCTGTCTCCAAGCTCGTTAAGACATAGGGACTCTTATGAGAAGATTGTAAGGAAATGGCGTATTTTCTATCTTTTCATATGTAATAACTGAATATTCTTGTCTTGTCAGTATTACTTTAATAACATCACCTGTACTTGTTTTGGACCACACTGTTTGTTACCTTAAATCTTCACTGTATTGTAGAGTGCACACATGCACAGCTACTGAAAGATTTTTTTTGTGACGTACCAGCTGAAAAGCCCCCAGAGCTGTGGTAAAGGTGGATTATTCCACTGATGATCTAGCAAACTAGACCAAGCTTACCTGAATTCTGGTGTATACTGATGTATAGTAGTGTTTTGTTACAGCCTGTAGGTGCACTGACATACAAGATGAGCTTATTGGCACAGTAGTGGGTGATACTTAGCCAGGTTAAGAAAACTTGACAACATAGATGTAAGAAACAAACTCTTTTCATGTCAGTTACAGGAAGAAAGGGAAAGGGCATTTCTTCTCGATTAATCTATTTGAAAGGGATCAGAAGAGAATATGAACCAAGAAAGAAGTGTTTTTCTTGATTTTGTTTCCAGACAGATTTTTTTTTTTCTGAGTGCATAATATAGAAGAACCTTGACCCCATAGAGGAGATGTATGTTCTTTTGTATTCTTGGCAGAAATAGCATCATTATTGAAAGCAATGCTGCTTCTTTTCTCTAGGCAAAGGAGATGTTTTTGGTGATGTCTTCTGGAAGGAGTCTACCCTTGCCCAGTCCTGTGCTAACGTAAGGGCTTTGACCTACTGTGATCTTCATGTGATTAAGAGAGATGCCTTGCAGAAAGTGCTGGAGTTCTATACAGCCTTTTCACATTCTTTCTCCAGAAATCTTATTTTGACTTACAACTTGAGAAAAAGGGTAAGTGGATTTGATTTTTAACATGCTCTATAAAAGATCACTTCTAAGGTCTGTCTGTATGAAAACCTAAATTGTGCAAAATCTGGCATTCTTTGTAGCCTCTCTTCTTAAGCTTGCTTAAGTGACATGGCTAGCACATACAGACAAAAGCCAAAAGCCATTCCAGTGTTAATTTTAAATGGAGATGGTCTGTTTATATTTGGAATTTTTACTTTTCTATGAATTGGGCAGATTTCAGCATATTTGCAAACTGTCACGTACTTATGATTAAATAGTGTTAACTACTTTAATTTGTAAAACGGCTACAAAGATGTTAAGGGTGTTGCCTGAAGTTAAAAGGAAGGTGGAAGAGAAGGTGTGAAATCTAATAATGTAGAATAAAAATCAACAACTGCAATCACATTGGAAAAGTAATAGGAGCATGACTGATTCTATCAAGAGTTTTTTCTTTTATTATCAATCACGTTTTGAAATTACTTTGCCCATCTAATTAATGCTTCTATTTTCTTATCCTTGATATTTTGACTGTCTTAATTTCTTCCTGTGTTCCAGTTCAAGGTGTTTTGTCAAATGTGAATCATCGTAAGCAAATATAACGTTTTAAATTCTCCGTGTAATCTTTGGTGAACTACTACTGTAGAAATTTATTAAGATTGTAATAGGTGTAATTCAGTTGATATGATATTATGGTTCAGCATAGAAGGCAATAATATTACAATGAAAATAAGTTGGAGCAGCTATACTTGTTTTAAAAGAATTTTAAAATATAAGGACACCTGAGATTATCTAAAGAAATATTCTTGATAGTTCTCCATGGTAACTTCCAGGTGCCAAGTAAGTGCCTAGATAATTATACCTGAAAAAATAGAAACCTTTTCATCTTTGAAGTCTGTTTGGAAAATTAGACTTGAAGCCTAGAGTATCATTTGTTGTTGTTGTTTATTTGTTTTTACCTAGTGTTGGCACACTGAAATTAAAATAGTGTGGTAATATTTTCTATCTGCATATTATCAATATAAAATAATTTAGCTTTTGTATTGGGCAATGCAACATATCTCCATTTTTGAAATATGCAACATATCTCCATCTACTATCTCCATTTTGGTCAAATAAATCAAACCTTTGGTACCAAATCTATATAATTAAAAACTGAGAAGCAAATTTATGTACTGGAGGATTTCTTCAAAAGACATTTTGTCAAATGATCTTGAGTTCCTTCAGGACAATGAGAAGACAGCTACTTACTTTGTATTAATAATGTGAGAAATAAAAGCAATGAACAACTTGAGTATTGAGATCATCTGAAGTATCTCTATCACTGACTTTGGCACGTTGTAAAATAACACTATAGGTAATGTAGCAAGATGATCTAAGAACACCTACTTTTTTTTTTTTTCTTTTCTTTTTTTTTCCTTAAACATCAATAGAAATAGCAGACTTTGTGACACAGAAGACTGGCTCCTTTAACGCTCACAGTAAGGCTAGCAGAAGCACATCATTTTGGTTCAGCTCCTAGCCAAAAGTTCTGATTTGAGAATCAGATGCCTGCTCCAGAAGTGATGCTCATTCCTTCCATGTTCATCAATGTTGCTTTTCCCAGCCCATCTTACAAATCACTTTTTAACCACAGTATCATAGTTCCTGTGCTGTCAGTTTTCTTCACCAAATGTTCCTAATAAAAAGGTACATTTTATGAGAGCAATTTCCATCCAGTTATTCAAATAATTGGATTTTAATTGAGTTGCAGTCAGCAGAAAAGTGGCGTTGATTGATAATGGAAGTGAGAGTTTGATGGTTCTAGGTTAGCAGACTGTAAATTTATTTCTTTTATTGAAAGAAGACTGATTGCAATCAGAATGCAAATGTTAAATAAAGTAAATAATGTATGCTTTTGGAACTGCACAGACGTTACAGTACCTTAGAGATTGAAGATAATGCACATTAAAAGGCAGCTTTTTAGAGTTTGGAATTTAATCTGGTTTAAATGTCTGCGAATCTCAAATAGAAATAGCTCCCTGGCTTGTCGCTTCTAGCACTCCTCGTGGTCTATTTCTGCAAATGGAATTTTGTAGAATTCAGATGAACCGGTGCCTTCTGTGAGCTACATTTGTGATGTATTGCATGTCCTTCAGAATATAAATACCAGAATTACACTTTTCATTTCAGTAAACACTTTCATCCCAGGCTCCAAAAACCTTCAACTAGTTGAAGGGTAGATACTGTATATTCGCTCCAAATGTATTCATACAGCTTCCAAACAAATGGAAAAGCAGCTTTGGTTGTTTTTTCTTTCCCTTCCCCACTCCAGCTGTATGATATCTCAGGTATATTTTTAGTCTTGGTGACTCCTCTGAGGTGTCCCCATTTCCAGGGTGCATCGGCCTTCACTTGGCCATGGTGCTGGGTCTTATTGCATGGAACAGGGTGCTTCTTGGTCAGGTTTCCCTTAGCTGTAGTGAGCTTTAGCATTGGCCCACTGTTTCACCATTTTCACACATTTCTTGGCTGCTGGATCTCCTTCAGTGACCCCTTTGTGGAGTTGAGCCTCCGTGGCCCAGAGCAGAGCTGGTGAGTGGGGCTGACCCTTCAGGTGTCCCCCCCACATACAGGGCTCTGGCCCCACCTGCTAATGACTGTGACGGAAAAAAGCAGGCACGCAGGCATTGTGAGGCACCAATCAATCTTGGTTTTAGCTGTAAGGTACTAGCTGGTCATGGTCTTATTTGTAAGGTACCAGTCATGGTCTTAGCTGTAAGGTACCAATCGGTCACGGTCTTAGCTAATTCTAGGGCTGGATTTAGGCAAAGTAAAAAGCCCCTTCCCATTTCCACCTCTCTCTCCATTCCTTGTGCTGCTTTTCCTACTGGCCTGGAGCATGCCTGGTGCTGAGCTGGGAGCCCAGGATGCTTCTTACCCCCTCCAAAGCACATGGCTGCAGTTATGAAATGCCATCACCCATCAGGGCTGAGGACTTTGTGACTGAGTGTAATGCTGCCGGTGCTCTGTCCCTGGTGTACTGTGGCTGTCAGCATCCGTGCTCTGCAAAGTTTCGTTTCACTCACTTTCTCCTTTCTAAAACTGTCAGTCCACTGTCAGGTGACTCCCTGAGCAGTTTCCTCAAGTGGCTAAAATCCCTCACAAAGTTATTAGCTGTCTAGTTACCTCTGGCTGGAGCTCAGACTTAGAAAATTTTTTATTTTTCCTAAAAGGGAAGAGAAATAGATCTCTAATTAACTCTTTCTGCTGCCAGTCATTAAAATTTTCATCTAAATGGAAGCAAAGGGAGAATCAGCTGCCGCTTCTGGGGCTCCAGCATCTTAAGAAACTGAAACTGCAGGCTGGGGCTGCAGGTGGCTGTGTCAGGCTCAAGGGTTTTGCAGCTGAGAGGAAGCTGACAGAGGATTTCTCAGTGTGCTTCCTACTGTAACAATGTTGTGAAATTAAAGCAGGTTAACATAATGTGTTTGTTTTTTTTTTCTCTCTTCAGAATTTCGTAGCGGAACCAGAGTGTAGGCACTGGGGGTATGTGGGATGGTCAAGTGACAAGCTCAGCCTTTCGGAGGCTGTACTACACAAAGAATGATTACGGATTTGGAAGGCAACAGGCTGGATAGTGGTCTGTTTTCTCACAAAAAAATATTTAAACACTTCTTTCCAGCCTGGACTCCATAGCTCCCAGTTAGAATAACCAGAAGAAGCTTGTGTGATAGCAACTTGTTGTCATTTGCTGGGGATGAGGCACCTTCTGTAGAAAGGTAAAGGGCCTCTGACAGCATTTGCAGCATCCTGTTTTTGGCAGATGTTTCTTTTCACGTGTAGGAGCTTTGTAACCAATATTTACTTATACTGGGTTGCACCACAGTGTATTTGCTCAGTTCATTCTGCTGCAGCCATAAATGATGTTATAGCTCAAAAGATCGTACACGCTACATAAAAGAGAGAATTCTTATACATAATTTATTAAGCTGAGATTTCTCTAGTAAGCCATTTTAGCCTGGATAGAGATTAAATGACTAATTCTGAATTCTTTGGAGCATCATGATAGAAGTCAAAAGCAGTTTCTCCAGAAGTTTAAATTTGTGGCCTGGAATAAAAGAAGGCATGCAGTAGCATGTAGGTACATTATTTGGAATTTTGTAAGATTGAAAGAAATGGCAAATGAAACTCCATTTTTACAAAACAAGCATGATTTAGTGATTTAAAGCCAGAGCTCCTAGTCAGAAGATATTTCTTAACAGAGCAGTGATTACAACAGAGTCTCCCTGCTAGCATCAGATTGCATTGGTACATTTAGTGGTGTGCGTATTCTATGCCATCCCAACAGTGCCAATGAAAGGGGTTCCTGCCACCCCTTCTAAAAGCAATTTTAAAATATAATTGTGTTTTCTTGTTCAGCATTAGCTTCACTTTTCTGCCCCTTTATAATCTAAGGTCTAACTTGAGAGAGGACCTCTCTCAGATCGAGCATTTCAGCTAGGAGTGCTTGGAATCATGATTTGAAATCTCATGGGGCTTGGCAGCATGGTGTTTTCAGAGGCAATGGCCTTGTATTTTATCGTTCCACATGATAAGTTTTCTAATTTTTTTCATGATGTAGGTTGAAAATGGTATCCTAGAATTCTTTCTGATATAGAAGACTGAATTGCTGGAAGATTTTAACAAAAGATTCTTAAAATAAGGGAGAAGAGTGAAAAGTACTAATTTTAGAACATTGGCCCATTTGTTGATGGATTTCAGAATTGTCAAACTGAAAGGTTTCTTCTTTCTAGTCTGTTTGTATTCACTGAAATAACCCCACAGACACTGTGGGATGAGGGTCTTGATTCTTGACTGGCATACATCTCACAGCACTGAAAATCCAGAGCACTGGATATGGCTAAAATGTCTGCATGGCTTTGTGGTTTGGGAGTTATGCCATATTTGCTGAGCAGAAAGAAAAACTGTAATTTTCGCAAGAAAAATGTCTAAATGTAAATAAACACAAGTGCTCACTCTGTTCT